AAAAATTTTGAAAATTTCATAATAAAATATTTAAAATTTCCAGCTTCAGCCGTTTCCAGCTTCAGCCGCAACAATAAGTATTTAATAGTATTGAATAGTATTGAATAGTACTCAATAGTATTCAATATTATTCAATAGTATTCAATAATATTCAATAGTGTTGATTAGTGTTGATAAGTATTGATTATTATTGAACAATATTCAATAGGAATAATTATTACATAATTAGCCAATTTCTGGATAATAATATAGATAATATGAATGCAGCATATTTTCTTATACTTTTTGGAAAATGTTACTTTTTTCCGACTATTTTGTAATTATGCATAGCTCTATCGATTACTCTATGATGATCGTTCATGTAACCTTATGGTCTGAAGATCGTAAGGAAGAACGTAGTCTTGTAATTAATCCTTCGGCTATACCCGGTCAACCCACTGGTCCAACTTCAAGTATTATGTCATTTAATCCACCGATAAGTATACGGACTCTTGTAGGTCATTGTACTTCTCCGGCACATCAACTTAGAGATCATGCTGGTCAACGTGGAATTTATTTTATTTTTCAAGACTTATCTGTAAGAACTGAAGGCATTTATACACTGAAATTTTCGTTATGTGACATTAAGGGATTACTATCTCCGTAAGACATTGTTGATAACCTTAATTATTTAGAGTTTATGATATCTCTTAATCTGATCTCTTACCCCTTAATTTGGTATTATTTTTTATTAATTATTATTAATAGGGTATACGATGAATTCTCGATGGTTCGTGGAAGTGTATTGGCTGAAGTATATAGTGCTCCTTTTAGGGTATATTCTGCAAAGAAATTTCCGGGTATGACAGGTATGAAAAGTACAAGGGGATGCTTATTGCATTTCATGTTTTGATCCAGTTGTAAAAAATCCGATAAATAATTTTTATGCAAATAATTTTTATACAAATTTTTTTTTTATGCAAATAATTTTTATACAAATTTTTATGCAAATGCATAATTTTAATTGTATTAGAATCGACTGCGCTTTCTAAAGCTTTCGCTACTCAGGGAATTAAAATTACAATTCGTAAAGATTTTCGTTATCAAAAAACCAGTAATGATGAATTACAAGATGATGAATCATCATTAAATCAAACAAACGTTACACCCGACAATCACAAGGATGAATCTTCCGATACCGATTCGATTCAGGAAATAATAAAACAAATAGTTTAACTATTTATATATTGGATCATTCTTTTAAATTTTTATTTCTGCCCACTCCATTTTTGATGTCTACGTTGTGATCAATTTTGTTTGTACAAAATCTACTCAATCGTTGGGAATTTTATTTTATTTTTTTTTAATTTTATCGTTGTTGTTTCTTTTTTATTTACGCAAAATTTATCGGTGAAAATTTCATATTACTGTACTAGTTATTTATGTCTTTTACATTTTTCGATTTATATTTCCGAATTTTTTGAAGCGTGACGTTTGAAGTTATGTTGTTTGCATATGTATTATAAGATATTGGCATTTATCAATACTAATAGTATGAAATAAGAAAAGGTAAGGTCAACCAGAATTATGTATATATCAAATAAAAAAAAAATGGTCTTTTTTTTTTTAATCTGAAAAGTATAATAACTGTTGGTCACTATCGTTATTTGGCTCCAAATATTATGATTATCAATCCTGGAACGACTAATTATCCAAAATTAATTATTAATTCGGATTTTTTAAAGGTTAATTTCATATATCAATATGAATTATATCTGATATCGGAATTCGTACATACGTACGTACAGTACGTAGGTAGGTATATATTTTTTTTTATGTAACAAACAAATCGGATCGTATTTTTTAACTGGCTTTCCAAAATTTTTAAAATTTTTGTTAAAAATTATTACAAAACTGACTTCATTACAATATAAGGCTAGTCCAGAACTGCAAGACCGGAATGTGTAATTGATCAACATCGTCAATATTAAATCGATCTTAATTGTTAGAGTTAGTGTTACTATTGTATTGGGAATATCGGCACAATTTAGCTCCAATAGTTAACTTATGCTCTTTGTATAGAACTAAAGTAATAAAATAAATAATACAAAAGTTACGTAATTAATCTGATATCTATCGGTAATCGATAAAGTAAATAAATCAGGTTACGTAATCGTAATTAAATTGATCGGAAATCACATCGATATTAAGGGTCGATACTTATAAGGTAATAGAAAAATAAATAACGTGATCTTGAAGAACCTTCACGATTGAAATAATGAAATAACAATTAAATACAACATTAAAACTAATATAACAATTGAGAAATCGATTCTTCTTTTATCATTTATAACCAAGACATAGAAGTCTGAAGCTTTATTAGAAGAGCGAAGAGACTGTTCTTTTATACTTTCGGAATACATTAAAAGCTTACAACAGAGAACAGAGAATAAAGTCCTAAGTCCAGGTCTATACTTTGTTTCTATTACCTTGTTAGCCCTTTCAATCTTAGCCCGATCATAAGTCTATTTTAAAATTATTATTCTAAGCCTTTTCAGGTTTAATCTCTATGCCTTATAACAATAAACAAATAAAAATAAAAAATAAACAAAAATAACAAATAAAATAAATGTTTGTACAGATCTAACCTTCGCCACCGGCTTAGTCTTATAAATTTCTTGTGTGGTTTATAATACATATTCTTGTTTTTACCTATATACTATTCAGTCACGTTTTTTTTTTTTAAAAAAAATCGTAGCATTAGATTAAAAGGAGTTAGAAAGCGAATTTAGACAGCACCAAGAGCACTTTCATAGGCAAAATTTTGAATTATTGTAAAAAATTTTTTTCTTAATTTTGTTAATCAACCTGTCACACATTCCGGACTTGCCATAAAATCCGAAAAATTAGAAATAGAATTGATATGTAGATAAAATTGATTAATACAATTTTGTACATTTATACAAATTGAGAAACTATAAAATGAATATGTTAAGTCAGACCAATTTAATTCAGTGGTTTACATTACCCCCCTCTCTTTTTATCCCCCCTCTCTTTTTATCCCCCTCTTTTTATCCCCCCTCTCTTTTTATCCCCACCTCTCACTTAGTAAAATTTTATCGAATATTATATACTTCTAAAAACGCGAAAAAAAACTTATTATTATGTACCATATTGTAGTGTTACAAATCGAAAGTTGAAAAAATCGATTAACTGGTTAGTTGATAACTAATCGATTAATCAACTAATCGATTAATCGATTATTTGCAACCAATCGACTAAAGAATTATTGCGGTTTGCAAATTTTGCAGACCATAAAAAAAAAAAAAACTCCCCCGATTATGATTATTAATGATTAGTGATTTCCGACTTCTAATTTTTTTCGTGAGAAATTTTATTTTGACCCGGGTCAAAATGACCCTCCCAGGATTTAGGGTTAGTGCGGGCCAAAATTATGTTAATGTCGGCCGGGTTTTTATATTAAAAAAACCCTGGCCGGCATCAAGATAATTCTGGCCCGCACTAACCCTAAAATTTTGCCGAGTTATTTTTGACTCGGGTCAAAATAGTATTTCCTTTTTTTTCATTATTTTTTTTACTTTAGATTAAATATTAATATTATGTAAATTTTTATAAAAGGCGTAATAAACTTTAATTTTAATTTGTTAATATTATCAAGTTAAAATTAGAGTTTATTACGTCTTTGATAAAATTTACGTAATATTAATTTTTAATCTAAAGTTTAATTTATCAGTTGCAGCTCATAAATTAATTAATTCGTTGCAGCTTATAGATTAATTGATTTGTTGCAACTTATTAATTAATTAATTAGTTGCAACCAACTGGAAAAATAAATTGAATGAAACAATTTTGCTGATTTGTAATAATACTATATTGTTATTATAATACCAAAGATCTAATTTATGAGCTTATACTAATATTATATTTAGCTAATCATTAATGCATCTGATGCATATGATCGGTTATTGATTAATAGCTAGCTATAACCAGTTGTAACTAATCAGTGTTTAAAATATTTAAAAAACATAAGCAGATTGATACAGATTAACCTGAAAATATGAAAGATCACATAAACATGATATTTAATTAGTTTAATATTATGTATTAGCTAACTGGTCTGTTAAGCGGTTTTTATTAACTTAGGCAAGCATCGTTTCTGCAAAAAACCAGTTTTGAATCAGTTTTTGAAATAGAATTGATAGAATCAGCATGGGTTGTGAGAACAGTTCAGGGTGGTTACTTGACTATTTATAATATTAAATAAAATTTCTTGATTAGAATGTTATACAGATTACAAAAAGATTATATAATATTTGTTTATATTTTTTATCTAATCAAATTAGAGTATTATATAATTTAAGAAAATAATTTTTGGGACTAAAGACTAACTAAACTAGAACTATAAATACTATATACAGTAATCAGTTCTTATAGAACTAGAATAGCCTAAGATAAATCAGACCAGACCAGTATATTTTTAAATTAATTATTATTGACTATAGCTATAGTTAGTTATATAAGTTAAAATAAAATACAGTTGATACTGTCTAATTGCATACTGTCTAATTGCATATACTTTCTAAATGTATAAAAAATTTTAGCTTTAATTATTAATACCAAAATGGTTCTTATAATTTAATTGTATACACTAACAGATGTATACAATTAGACAGTATCTATTGTATATTTAAGTTTATTTATTATTAATAAGTTTTAATTTATAAATTTTATATACAGTTATATTGTATTAATAAGTTTGGATTTATAAATAAAAAATAACACTTTTACATACTTTATATATTTATTTATTTTATATATATATGGGATTAATTAATTCTTTAGTATATAAATAAATTTGTAAGCTTCTTTTATAAAGTTTTTTTTTTTATTTTTTAGTATATTATATATAATAAACAAAATTTTAAATTATATAATTTGATTAGCTAATTATCACAAATAATTATATATAGATCTATAAAAATTAGCTAATCATATGAATTTTTTACTATAAGATATAACTACTATAGATGTCTAATTCAAGCTAAATTTTAGTTAATTATTAGATTTATATCAGTATTAAAAAAATATATATATAGATATTAATCCAATTTGCTTTATTTCAACTTATATTAGTAAACTAACTATAAAATAACCCAATCTATTTCTATCTATAAATCATTATTTATAAATTAATATCATTGCTATTATATTTTATTTTATATAATTGTTAAAAACCTTTTAAAGTTTTATTTAAAACTATAGTTAATTTAGTTTATATATTAAATATTAAAATTTTTACAAGTAGAAATAAAGCATATCAGGTTTATATTGTTATTTTTTAATCCTAATATAAATCTAATATTAAACTAAAATTTGGCTTGATTAAGTATTTATAGAGGTTATATTGGTATAAATATATATTTGTATATTGATAGCTTTATAAATATATCAATAAAACTATTAATAATCTAGCCCTATTAATATATCTACAGAGCTATCAGTATATCTATATGCATTTATGCTAATATAACCTCTATAGATGCCTAATTCAAGCCAAATTTTAGTTTGAAATTAGGTTTATATTAGAATTAAAAATACTGATATAAACCTAATATTTTTTATTACTATTTTTACAAGTATAATAATAAAAAAATATTATACAATAAATGATCTTCTGTTAAATAGGTTCATTATAAATTTTAAAGAGCTATTTGCTATTGTAATTTTCTTTATCAGTTAAAAATATTAACTATAAAGATAATATAATTTTTTGCAAGCTATGTATTTTACTTATTCATAAATATATAAATATATAGACTATTAAAATAATGGTTTTGTTTATTTTAATTTAATAATAAATATAAATAATAACTTTATTAGTTTTAGTACTATATACAAAATTAAAAAATATATAATAATTTAAATTATTTTTGATAATATAGAATTAGATAAAAAATTTAATAAATTAAATTCTTCAATTAGTATTTTAACTAACTTATATAAGTTATAGCTTAGTTGCAAATATTTTTAATTTGAAATAAGGAATTTGCTAATTTCCACCACAGGTGATCATTACCTGTATCATTTATATTTCAAAATTCTGCTTA